AGTGGCTCTCGTGGAGGGGCTACGGGGCGTGGCAGGGAGCGGCGGGTCTCGGGGTGCAGGGCCAGAGGAGTCCCCGCGGGGGTCACGCTACAGCAACGTCCTCACCCCCGACAAGATCCCCGACTTCTTCATCCCACCCAAGCTGAGCGTGGCACCTGCTGAGACAGAGGGCCCTGAGCCTCCCACAGTGCCCACCCTGGGCCCCTCGGCCTCAGAGCAGGACCTGGCTGGGCGCAAGCCCCCACGCAGCCCCCGGCCATCCAGCCGTCCCCGGCCGCGGGCCACCAGCCGGCACATCATCCAGATAGAGAGCGCTGAGGACTGGACGGCCGAGGGGGGCTTCGGCACCAACGCAGACCCGCAGGCGCAGACAGCCATGTCGCTGCCCTACGTGCCCAAGGCGCAGACCTCCTACGGCTTCGCCACACTGGTGGAGAGCCCACACACGCGGCGCAAAGAGTCACTCTTCCACAGCGAGCACAGCAGCCTCTGCCCCTCGCCAGCCACCTCGCCTAGCGCCCAGCGCAGAGCCAAGCTCAATGGCGAGAGCAGGCCCCGGGCACCCGCTGACCTGGGCGCAGCCCTCATGCACCCTGGCCGCTACTTCAGCGGTGGTGAGAGTGACACGTGCTCCTCGGCCGAGTCCTCGCCCTTCAGCTCCCCGCTGCTCTCCCGCTCTGTCTCCCTGCTGAAGATCTTCAGCCAGGAGAGCCAGTCCAAGGTCATCAAGCTGAAGCACTCGGTAGCCCGCAACAGCTCACTGTCCACCGACGACAGCTCAGCTGACACCAGCCCCAGCGCCCAGCGCCGTGGCAGGAGCACCCCGGCTGGGGGGCAGCCGCCTGCTGCCCTGCTGCCCCTGGACCTGCCGCCGGGCCGCGACCGGGAGCACAGTCTGCAGCTCAGCCGGGGTGGGAGCCTGCGCCTGGCCGCTGAGTACGACCCCTCCAATGCCCGGTTGCGCGTGCGGCTCATCTCTGCTGAGGACCTCTACGACGCCCTCGTCGACCTGCGCAGCATCAACTGCTGTGTCTCGCTGTGTCTCAACCCTGGGAAGCTGCAGAAGCAGCGCAGCACCATTGTCAAGAACAGCCGCAACCCCGTCTTCAATGAAGACTTCTTCTTCGATGGGCTGGGCCCTGGCCATGCCAGGAAGATGTCCCTGAAGCTCAAGGTGGTCAACAAGGGCAGCAGCCTTAAGCGGGACACACTGCTGGGGGAGAAGGAGCTGCCGCTCACCACCCTCCTGTCCTGCCTGTAGGCGCTTGCTGCCAGCCCCGGAGGGAGCCTGCCTGCCTGTGGGGCTGGGATGAGGGGGAGGAGGCCAGCCCTGTCCCCTGGCCTCGCTGGAGCAGGGTTTGGAAGGGCCCCTCAGAGGAGGGATGGGGCCATGGCAGAGCGTGGGGGTCCCTGGGGGCAGTGCTGCTGTGGGGCTCTGCCAGCACCAGCCCTCCTGCGGTGGGGCAGGCAGGGCCGGCAGCCGCAGCCTCTCCCCTCTGCTCCCTCCCTGCTCCCTCCTGGGGCTGCATCTCCTGGAGCCCAGCGGGAAGTGGGGAGCCACCGGCCCCGTCTCCACCGGGAAGGATGGATGTCACCTGCTGGGCTCTTCCCTTCCTGGTGCCCGTGGTCTTCAGCTGGCCAGCACGAACGTTGGAGGTGGGTAGATCTCTGTAGCATACTTACTGCCACCTCTCTCAAAGCCCCAGCTCCTGGAGTCAGGTGATAGCATCGATCTCAGCTTTAATTTAAAAGACAAGTTTCTAGTCCTGGAAACTGCAGAGAAAATACTGCAGAGGTGACCCAAGAGTGGGCTAAGGGAGGGTGACCCTGGGGGATGAGTTAGGTTTGTGGTTTTTGAGCCTTTCCTGGACTCTTTGTAGGACTGCACAGATGTGCAAGTCGGCTTGGTCCGACACCCGCAGCCTCCTGGGACACCCTCCCTGCACACCTCCAGCAGTGTCCCCCACTGCTGACCTGCTGTGGGAAACTGCTCACGGAGCTTCAGGGGCTTTGAGTTTGCCCAAATCCAGGAGGCTGCCTGTGCCCGTCCCCTGCCTGCAGGAGGGAGATGCCGGGGGCTGGCACTGCCATGGGTGGGCCTGGCATTCCTCGCCCTGGGCACACAGGTGGTCCCGGGCAGTGTCCCAGCAGACGTGCTTGCTGACAAAAGCTGAGGCAACAGGAGTAGCTCTCCCTGAGTGCTGGTGGTCTGGCTGGCACTGGGGACATCCCCAGGTGTCGCTGGGCAGGGGGGCAGGCTGTGGCTGAGGCTTCTGTACCCTCTGCCCTCCCTTGCCTGTGGGAGGCTCGTGGGCTTGTGAGCAGCTGCACCCACTGGGCAGGAGAGACGTCTCCTGTGGGGCCACGAAGCCCCCGTGCCCAGCAGGACCCGGCTCCCCGAAGGGACTGGCCTGCCTCTGCAGTTTTCCTTTGGGGTGGAGTGGGGTGCTCCCACCCCTTCCCATCCCTCCCTGCCGTCCTGGTTGACCGGCTGGAGGCACTGGGAGTGGGGGAAATGCCGGTCAGGGCATTTCTGCAGGTGGATAAAACAGATGCCTTGTTGTTGTTTGGTGTGGTGTTACCCAGTGCATTGGGCTCTGCATGTTTCTGTGGAAGGGAGCTGAATTTGCAGTGCTCCTGTCCCTGCCTGTTGCAGCATGCATGGACACATGCACACACGTGTCCCTCTGTGTTAACCTCTGTCAGTGGCAGTTGATGTTCCTTCCTTGTCCTTTGCAGCAGATGGCAGATTTCAGTGTTGGCTATTTATATCTGAGGCTGATCTTTCCCAGCGTGTTTTACTTCTGTCTGTAAATATGTTTCAGGTACGCGAGGCATGGTTCTGATAGCGTGGTGTTTGCATGTCGGGGGGATTTGGGGTGATCGTGGCTGTTTGTCGAGCTTGTGGCTGAAAACAAACCATGCAGGATGTAAGGAGCAGACACATCCCTCCGCAGAGGATTTCCCACGTGAGGCTTCCTACTGCTCCCCCAGGAGCCAACACGGGGGATGCTCCTGGCCCCTGAGTGCCCAGGCTCGCCCTGGGGGCAGACGGGGGCTCTGGGGAGGGTGGGATGGGGAGATGGGCCATGTCCCTGGGCCGGGAGTGAACATCCTGCCCCTGGGCAGACCCGGGGCAGGAAGGGGACCCTGCCTGGCTGGCTGCTGCCTGACAGCCCCGTGTACCCTTCCCCAGCGCGCTGTGGTCCCCAGGGTGCTGTGCCTGCAAGGGCCTGGTGGGACCCAGGCGTTGCTGGGGGTGGGGAGGACCCAGCAGGCTGTGAGAGGAGGAAGAACAGGAGCTGGGCAAAGATTTTGGTACTCTATGAGAGGGTTGAGGGTGAAGCATCCCCCATGGCAGAGCTGTGTGCCTTTGGGTTTGGGGAGGGGGGATGCTGAGAGCAGTGCCCTGGGCTGCTCCTTGGGTTGGAGCTGGCCCTGGGGGCAGACTGAAGAGCCTGGGGGCTTGTGCTGTCCCTCCCCCGCCTGTCCCAGGGCTGCCTTGCTGGAGTTGAGTGGTGTGTGGCTGTCCGCCAAGCCCTGGGACGTGCTGCTGTGAGCCCCACGCCTGTGATGGGCAGGACGGCGGTGTGGGAGCTGAGACTGTGGCCTGGCTGGGTCTTTCCTCCCCTATAGCTCTTTTCTACTGTTCCTGCTTTGATATTTCTGTGGCTGGATTTAATGATGCATTTTTGGAGTGAAAAAATATATTAATACCTGAATGGAATGTTTGTTTACAGATGACTTCCCCTTTTTAGTGCAATAAAGTAATTTCTAAAACAGATGTAGGTGGTGCCCCGGCTCCTGGTTTCCCTGGGGTGTTCCCTTTGCTTTTCATTGCCGTGGCTGCGGCATCCCACTGGCCCTGTTATCTTCCTAGCTGGCTCCCTGTGCTGTGGAGGGGTGGGAGGGCAGCCGTCGGACCCTGTGGCTGCCGAGCCAAGCAGTGCCTTGTGCTGTCCCTCCCCCGCCTGTCCCAGGGCTGCCTTGCTGGAGTTGAGTGGTGTGTGGCTGTCCGCCAAGCCCTGGGACGTGCTGCTGTGAGCCCCACGCCTGTGATGGGCAGGACGGCGGTGTGGGAGCTGAGACTGTGGCCTGGCTGGGTCTTTCCTCCCCTATAGCTCTTTTCTACTGTTCCTGCTTTGATATTTCTGTGGCTGGATTTAATGATGCATTTTTGGAGTGAAAAAATATATTAATACCTGAATGGAATGTTTGTTTACAGATGACTTCCCCTTTTTAGTGCAATAAAGTAATTTCTAAAACAGATGTAGGTGGTGCCCCGGCTCCTGGTTTCCCTGGGGTGTTCCCTTTGCTTTTCATTGCCGTGGCTGCGGCATCCCACTGGCCCTGTTATCTTCCCAGCTGGCTCCCTGTGCTGTGGAGGGGTGGGAGAGCAGAGCTGGGACCCTGGGACTGCCCAGCCACGGAGCAGTGACTGCTCTTCTGGGTGGTGCTGCCCATTCCCAACAGCCTTGGCAGGGGCTCAGAGCGCCTGAGCAGCTCTTACCCGGTGCTGCCGACCAGCCATGGGGTGAGGCGGGAGCAAATCTCCCAGGGGCAACAGGGGATGTGGGGAAAGGGGCTGTCCCTGCTTGGGGAGGGGGACCTGGGGCTGTCCCAGCTGGGGCAGGGATGAGCTTCGCGGGGACGGGGCTGCGGAGAGGCAGAGCCCCTTCCCGTGCTCCCACGGGAGTCCTTCCTCCCCCTCGCCAGCTCTCCCAGCCTGGCCCCTGCACTCCTTCTCAGCTGTGCTGGTGATTAAGGATATGACGATGTTTTTGTGCTCCCCGTCAGCAGCGGGCTGCGTGGGCTGGAGAGCTGCCCTCACAGGGGCCGAGCGCCCAGCACCTCCAGCCCTGGGGCTGCCCTCATGGGGGGCTCTGAGCTCCAGGAGACCCTCGGGGGGCTCTTTGGGGCACAGCTGAGCTCTGACCCCATGGCAGTGCAGGGGTGGAAGCCCTCCCTGCCGCTCTCCAAGCTTCACAGCCCTTTTCCCCTCAAAACCCTGGCACCTCAGGCCAGCTCCTGCACAGCAGTGGTGATCTGCTCCAGCAGCATTTTGGCGTGAAAACAAACCTGATGGTTTCTGCCCAGCCATGCCCCTGCCATGGTGCTGCTGGGATGTGTCTCCCAAGTGCTCTGCAGTGCAAGCAATGTGGGTGTCAGATGAGCTGCTCTCAGGGCATCCCCTGGACTGTTTCCCTCCCCTGCCCCTCCAGGGAGATCCCCTGCCCGGCTCTTGGCATTCAGCAGATTACCCTGTTTTTTCCCCACCTTCCATTTCCAAATCTGCTTTTAAACAGATGCCGCTGAAGAAAAGAGGGAGGTTTGTCTGTTACCTAAATGCCATTTTTCTAATTTCCACCATTCTAATAATTTGTCATTTTTGGTAGAAATAAAGGCTGGGAGCACTAAACAGATCCGCCCTCTCTCCTCCTGCCCCCACAGGGGCAGAGAAAGCAGCGTGGTGAGAGCTTGGCAGGTGCTAATAATTTAAGTAGTGCTTTTTCTAGAGGTGTAAAGCTACAGCAGTTAGCAATAAAATGAGGCTGATTAAGTTAGTCTGAACTAGAGTGGATGGGGTAAGCCTGAACACACGAAAAATCCCTGGAAAGTGTTCAACATTCAAAGTACTGGAAGCAGTCAGAGGGGTGGAGAGGGGCGTCTTGTGGGGGAAGATTTAACTCTGAATTTGTCAGAATGTCAGAGTCATTGTGGGAAGGAAATGTGGCTGCTTCTCTGTACCCTGGGCTGGACCCAGGAGGGCTGGGGTCGAGCTGAGATGAGCCTCTGAATTGGAAGATGCTGGTGGTGCCCCGGGGGGGAGCAGGGGGATATGTCCCCTCTTCACAATGCAGCCCCTCGGGACGGAGGATGCCCAGATGAAGCACAGCTGTTGGAGGCTGCCAGGTGAGAGCCTGAGACCAAGGGTGGCTCTGCCCGTCACTGGTGATGCCCACACCGAGGGATGCTCGAGCCCCGGGAGCTTTCCCCTACATGGGGGTTTCTCTGGCCGGGGGTTCCCAGGCTGATGCAGCTTGTTTGGGCAGTTTGGGCAGCACAATCTGTGGAGTGCTCTGAGGCAGAGAGGGGAGATGGCTGGATGTGGAGGAGCCAGTGGCAGCTGCCACCTCCTTTACCCTTATCTCCAGAGCAAGATTCACCTGGGTGAGACGTGCACACAGACGTCGGCTATTTTTAGTCCTGTGTTCCCACAATGCGAGGACTCAACTTCTGAGAGAATTGCCTGGAGCTCAT